TCAAGACATCAGGTTTTTAATGCCGACGAGACCGGCCATTGGTGGAAAAAAAATTCCCAAGAGAACAATTATTTCAAAAAATGAAAAGGTTGCACCAGGTTTTAAGGCATCAAAATACCGCATAAAGTAAAACCTATGCTGGTTTATAAATCTCTCAATCCTCGTGCAATGAAAAACGTAAATAGTGGTCAGCAAATAGAGAAGCTTGGGTAACTACTGAATTACTTAAAATGTGGTCTTTAAAATGTTTTATACCAAGTGTAGAAAACTACTTAAAGCAGAAAAATCTAGATTTTAAAGTTCTACTAATATTGGATAATGCACCCAACCATCCGAAAGATTTAAATCACCCAAATGTCAAAATTATTCTTTTTACCACAAAATACAACGTTTTTACTTCAACCGTTAGATCAGGGAATTATAACTACATTTAAAACTAATTACATTAGGAAATCATTACAATGAATTTTGAATGAAGTCGACGACGAATCTACAGAAGTCATGGAAGCAAGGAAACTTTTTACAATTTTGGACTGAATTAATCTCATAAATTTTTCCATCAAAGAAATAAAACCGACGAGATTATTTGCTGGTTGGAAAAATATATGACCGGAGACAATTAAAAGTGAAAATCTAATCGAGCTAGCAGAAGACACAATGGATGCAATAGTAAAACTTGCTAAGTCTCTAAGAGGGGGAAGGTTTTGACGATATAACTGTCGAAGATAGCCAAGAATTACTGGTGGATGAAGAAACTGATGAAGCAACTGATGGAAGAAGAAACTAATAACATCTTTGTGTGAAAAGATTTTAAAAATCCAACGTATTCACCAAGTTCACTGAGTTCCAAGTAAAATCGGAGCTCTTAAATCGGTTCTAGCTGACTGGAAATCATGTGTTTCTCATATAGAGTCTATTGTGCAATCAGGAAATACAATTGAATCTAATCAATGTAAGGGATTTCTAAAATCACTTACAAATTGTAGATTCTTACTAACAGTACATTTGAAAGGTTCGATGCATGAACCGGTCAACTCAATTTTTTGGCGAAAATTGACTTTTCATGTAGCTGTAATTCTAACTATATTCCGCATTGCTAGTTGCAAGAATTAAACACTTCCGATTATCGAGATAATGTAATTTTTCAGGTGTAAAAATCATTTCGTTCCGAAGCTATCCACTTTTTCTGCCAATGCAGAAATTATTTCATTTCTTGTTTGCCGGTTGTATCGTGTCAATGATTTCAACTGGTTCTCCCACTTACATAATAAACTAAAACAATTGACGTGAAACGACGAACAAATGAATATCAATCGGAAAACGATAAAACGGAGCTACATACATAAGACTCACAAGACAGCAGTCTGCCAATTCAGCACGTGATTATATATTATTATTTTTTATTGTTCATGTAAACAACGTGTAATGTAGAAAAATGCCGGAATCATTTGAAGATTGTGGAAATGAATATACAGGGTGTTTCCTTTATCTTGCAAAATTGGAATATCTCGTGAGGGACTGAACTTATCAAAAAAATGTTTCAACAAAAGTTCAACCATATCGTGGAAGTTATTTTTTTGCAGGTCGAGAAATTTCAAAGTCAAGTTCAGTTTTTTAAATGGAACCATATACATATTTTCTTTTTCATAGTACGATAGCATTTGTCGAGACGAATTCAACGATCTGCCATATGAGGTAATGTATTGTTGTAAAATGTTATTTTTGATAAGCGTTCTTCGAACTTCAACAGCATCGTGCGAGCGTAGGTTTAGTGCTATGAATTTAGTTAAATCTAAAAACAGGACTTCGCTGCAAGATGTAGTTTGGATTACCTGTTAACCATATCTATCAATGGACTGGCAATTGATTTGTTTCAACCAGAAAGTGCAATTAATAAGTCGTACTTTTCAAGTAAATAGTGTCATACAAAAGGCCATGCAAGTAATAAAAATTAAAAATGACTTTTTGCTATAAATACATACATATATAAAAAAATGTTAAGTTTTTTTGCGTAGTATTTATTGTCTGATTATTGTCTTATTAACACGTTGATCGCTCAGCGTGAATCGGTAGAGTTTCTCCGGGGGCTCAAATCCGATACTCGGAGTGTAAACAGCGCGATTAGCTAGAATAGCATTCCAATGTTTTAACGAATACTGTTCGATTGTCCTCTTCCTCTATTCAGAAAGCGGGTCAGAGTTTCTAATCTCTTCCTCACGTTTTTAACACCACCTTCTATTTCTTAATTTGCCTTTTACTTATTGAAGAAACTGTGACCCGTCCGTAGCAACAATAACTTTATGAAAGCCATTGAACACCGTTAGTCTCTTAGTTTCATTATTTTCGCCTTTATTTTATGGCTTAGAATTTCAATTTTCGTTTCTTTGTTCGAACATGGGTTGCCTGAGTCAGAGTGCATCATAAAGATTCTTGCCTGCTACGGTCGCGGGCGAGGCATGTGGAATTTCCGCGTACGTCACTCGAAGGTACTCTCTTTACCTGAGGGTGACCGTTAGCTGGAGGGAGGTCACTTTACACAAAATTTATTCAGCCAATCATATTCACTCGACCGATTCTCTAGCCACTCCCGAAAAAATGCAATTCAACCAATCCACATGTCTCACCCCCGCTAACACACCTCGTTCAGTTTTACTTTCGGGAGATTCTTCGAACGAGGAATGAGTTCAAAAACACACTTCACGAGAACAAGACACAAACCAAAGACACATCCCAATTATCATTCCTTACCTCCGGAAACGATCGTAAGGAAATCACTGTACGATACGCGGTGTCGAAACATCGAAGTGAAGATTTACGACCTTCACTAACGCGCCGTCTTTATTAAAGTTGATCGCGTTGCATCGCGAATTCGTGCAAAAAACATTTTGGTCCTTCGAGCCGGATATCTTCGAGCTAGTGTAAAAGTGTGATCAAGACGTAAGCAGCGCAGAAATCAGCAAAACGCCAGCGACGCCCATTCCATCGACACTTGCCCAGTTCGAAGGCACGGAGTCTACGACAATCCAGATCATCCTCGCAGCTACCATCTCGTGGGAGTCTAGGAGTTAGACACTGCAACATCCAACGACTTCACAACGACAAGGTAGGCTCGTTCTATTGAATCGTCAAGATCCTAGTTTATTCATTCCACTATGCCGAACACCACTGTCCCTTCCGGTTCATCCACGATCCAAAACAACGAAGTTAGTTCGTTACGGCGAAAACGCGGAGCCATTCAGGCACAGATAACTTCGTTCAAAAAATTCTGCGACCGGTGTCAAGAAACCGGCAATCATGACAACTTCGAAATAGAGGCTAGACTCAATGGACTTCGCGAACACTGGGCGCGATTCGACGAAAACCAATGCAATTTAGAAGACCGGGATGAATCAGAATACACACGTCGCGAGGAGATCGAGAACCAATATTACGCGACTGTAGCACGAGCAAACAGTTATTACTTTAAACAGAATTAGTAGGAAATCGTTCAAGTTCATCACCAGCAACTACCATATCAGCACCGATTTCGATTAAATTACCTGAGCTACGACTCCCGAGTTTCGACGGGTCATTAGAGAACTGGACCTCTTTTCACGACACTTTCACTTCGGTTATCGATCAGAATAAACACCTAACAGCTGTTCAAAAACTGCAATATCTTCGATCGACACTGACAGGAAAAGCAGCCGCATGTATCCAATCATTTGCTACCACAGAAGCGAATTATGTCGACGCTCTCGAAATTTTAAAGGAAAAGTTCAACTGCAAAAGAAAGATTTTATTGCGACATTGCGAGCAGTACAGAATCTTCCCAAGCTTATTGACGACTCGCCGGAAAGGCTAGGAAGCTTGGTAGACACGGTTAACCAACACACGCGCGCCCTTAAAAATCTCGGGGAACCAATTTCTTCGTGGAATACCATCCTTGTCTCCATGATCTTTACTAAAGTAACTTCAGACATCGCATGGCAGTGGGAACTCACACTAAAGGATAATAACATGCCCCTGTATACGGATCTGTTAACATTCCTCGAAAAACGGGCAAGCTGCGCACCTAGCATTACCGCAACCAGAATGCACGGCGGACGAGCGAACGAACGGTCGAACATTCGAACGGCGCATATTAATGAACGAAACAGCGATCGAATACTTCGCGAACACGCCTTCGTAACAAATAGGGGACAACAATGTCCAATCTGCAAGGAATCACACTACACTAGACACTGCGAGACCTTTCTAGCACAACCAATACACGAGAGATTGAAACTAATACAGAGGGAGTCTCTATGTAGAAATTGCCTTCAAGGAGGACATACACTCCAAAATTGCTTCGGAGGTCGGTGTCGCGCGTGTAGACAGCACCACACTCTTCTCCACCAATTCGCGAATTCTCAAAATCACGTCATCGAAGCCTCGTCACCTCAACCACATTTACCACCAAAAGAGCAGCTGACGGAAAACCGCGCTTGACAACGAAGGACTTCGATAGGGACATCTCAAAAGGCATTCGTCATCGACACCAGGAACAACGAACTCGTCACCGCGCAGGTCAACATTCTTCATCACAATAAGGAAGTATTACGTTGTCGGACACTTCTCGACACATGTTCGACAAGGAATTTTATTTCCCAAAGGTTGGTGGAAAAGCTCAACCTACCGCGTAAAAAATGCCATGTCCCCATCGGAGCGGTCGGCACACTTTCCACGATAGCAAGGCATTCTACCGTAGCAACGATTCGATCACGCAACAATGGTTTCGAAAAAATACTAAACTTCTTGATTCTCCCAAACATCTCTACATTCATCCCTGACGAACCAATTGACCGCACAAACCTAAGAATACCTCGCAACATCATGCTCGCCGACCCGGCCTTCCATCGACCAGCACCGGTAGATATGTTATTAGGCGCTGGTCCCACACTATCTACAATTTGCGTAGGACAGATCAATTTGACTCCACCACATGGTCCAGAATTGTACCTACAGAAAACCACACTAGGATGGGTCATCGGAGGGAGCGCGCCGGTCACATCACTCTCGCTGCATACCAAACCCCAAGGATCCGCTGCCACCTCAATGATACTCTTCATATCGGCCCTAAAATTCAGGATGATCTGTTACACATTTTATTACGCTTTCGGATTCATCGTTATGTCATCACTGGTGACATCGAGAAAATGTATCGGCAATTTATCGTTCGTCCAGAAGATCGAAAATATCAGCGGATCCTTTGGCGCGATCGCGACGGGACAATTAAAACATTTCAACTAAACACAGTTACATTTGGTTTATCTGCCGCTCCCTATCTCGCAATCCGAAGTCTAACCCAACTGGCTCGAGATGAAGCGCACCGATTCCCGCTAGCGTCCGAAATTCTTCAACGGGATTTTTACGTTGACGATGCCCTCACCGGGACTGCAACGAAGAAAGAAGCACTCGCGCTGCGAGAAGACATCACGCAGCTGCTCAAATCAGCTAGGCTCAACGTCCGACAGTGGGCGTCAAACGACCGCGATCTGCTTCAAGGATTATCAGAATTCGACGTCAACCGCAAACTACATCTCGGTGAATCCTCCACTTTAAAAACACTGGGAATTGTTTGGAACTCTGCAACAGATTTTATACACTATGCAGTAAAAACCACAACATCAACACCTCAGATCACCAAGCGTCACATTAGCTCCGAAATAGCAAGGATTTATAATCCACTAGGACTCCTCGGACCCGTTATTATCATTGCAAAACTTTTGCTACAACAGATCTGGATTCTGAAGGCTGATTGGGATGAATCCTTGCCAATGGATATTCACACGCAATGGACCCAATATTACACGCAACTACCATTATTAAACAACGCGACATTCAACCGGAAAACTATCATCAACGCAGCATCCAAGATACAGCTGCACGGATTTTATGATGCCAGCGAAAAGGCATACGGAGCCTGTGTTTATTTGCGATCCATCGACGCTTGCAGCAACGTCCAAGTAAATCTGTTGCTTTCGAAATCCAAGGTTGCTCCATTGAGAAAACATTCACTACCACGGTTGGAACTCTGTGGAGCACTTCTTCTTGTCACACTTATCACCATCGTACGAACGGCACTTCACATCGACATTAGTAACATCTTCCTCTGGTCCGATTCTACTATTGTCTTGCACTGGATAAACACGTCACCCCATGTCCTAAAAACTTTTGTCGCGAATCGCGTCGCTGAAATACAAAGGAAAATCGAAGATGCTCAGTGGCGCCATGTCGGAACATCCGAAAATCCAGCAGATTTAATCTCATGCGGCCAATCTCCGGAAGAATTCCTCCAGCCCTCCATCTGGCAACACGGACCGACGTGGCTCTCAAAAGAGGAGATCTACTGGCCTTTGTGGATACTGACACCCATGGATGACATTCCAGAGCAGAAGACAACGATTTGTTTAGCATCAACCTTAATCGATTATAGCATTCTGGAACGGTACTCGTCATGGGGAAAACTCATCCGAATCATCGCGTACTGTCTACGGTGGAAACATAGACACAGAAGCGGAGGATGTTTGACGGTCGCCGAGCGGAACTATGCCCACAACACAATAATCAAAATGCTGCAACATCAATATTTCGCAAAAGACATACATCACTTATCGGATGACAAGAAACCAGAAGTTAACCGTAAACTGCGGCCTTTGAATCCATTCACAGATCAAAACGGCATTTTGCGAGTCGGCGGTCGATTGAAACACTCGTTCATGCCATTTTCACAAAAACATCCAATTATCCTTCCAAAGGCCCACTTGACCACGAAAATCATTGAACACGAACATCGCACACAATTGCACGCTGGCGTCCAGACCACACTCTACGCGATTCGACGATGCTACTGGCCTATCGATGGGCGCAGCCAGGTGTGGAGCGTCTTAAAGAAATGCGTTCGTTGTTGTCGAGCGAATCCTCCTCCCGTTGAATACATCATGGGCAATCTTCCAGCAGCTAGAATCACCGAATCCCGTCCCTTCACACATGTCGGAGTCGATTACTGCGGCCCCTTTTATATCAAGGAAAAAAGACATCGTAACCGTAAGCAAATCAAGGTTTACGTTGCGGTGTTCATATGCCTTGCGGTAAAAGCGGTCCATCTGGAATTGGTCAGTGATATCACGAGCGAAGCGTTTCTCGCTGCTCTTCGACGCTTCATCTCGCGACGAGGATTCTGCGCTCACATATACTCAGATAACGACACCAACTTCACGGGAGCCAACAACGAATTGCGGGAGCTCCAGAAAATGCTGAGGGCAGAGGAACATCAACAGAGTCTAACTGAATTTCTAACGGAAAGATCCATCCAATGGCACTTCATTCCCCCCCAAACTCCCCATTTTGGAGGGCTTTGGGAGGCCGCAGTAAAATCATTTAAATACCACCTCAAACGCGTCGCGAACACCGTCACCTTTGCATTCGAGGATTTATACACTCTGATTACAGAAATAGAAGCGATCCTTAACTCCAGACCACTTACTCCCATCTCCGCGGATTCCAATGATCTTCTTGTCTTAACCCCAGGCCATTTCCTGATTGGCGATTCTTTGACGAGTCTACCTGAGTTTGATTTCAGAGAAGTTCCAACCAACAGCCTTTCGAACTGGCAGCACATTCAAAAACTTAAACAACACTTCTGGACTCGCTGGCATCGCGAGTATTTGAACGAACTGACCAATCGCAGCAAATGGACCAGTGGCGGCCACAAAATCAAGGAAGGCTCAATAGTCCTACTCAGAGAGGACCACGTGCCATCGATGCACTGGCCCCTCGGACGAGTTGTCCGAACGCATCCAGGGCCTGATGGCATTGTGCGGACCGTGACAATGAAAACTGCCACGAAGGAGCTCGACCGTAACGTGAAACGACTCGTACCTCTTCCCTGCCAGTCAGAGGGAAGAGATCCGACTTCACCAGCATCCATGGACCAACCAGCATCCACAGGTCAACCAGCATCCAGCGATGAACCAATACCTGGGGATCTACCAACATTCACGGCCATATCAGCTGCCAAGGACCAGCCGATAGCCAGACACTAAAATAGCCATACACACACCGCGACACATATCCACTTACATCACATTCATTGACATTTTGATCGGTATCCTCTCAACGGGGGGAGGATGTTCGATTGTCCTCTTCCTCTATTCAGAAAGCGGGTCAGAGTTTCTAATCTCTTCCTCACGTTTTTAACACCACCTTCTATTTCTTAATTTGCCTTTTACTTATTGAAGAAACTGTCACCCGTCCGTAGCAACAATAACTTTATGAAAGCCATTGAACACCGTTAGTCTCTTAGTTTCATTATTTTCGCCTTTATTTTATGGCTTAGAATTTCAATTTTCGTTTCTTTGTTCGAACATGGGTTGCCTGAGTCAGAGTGCATCATAAAGATTCTTGCCTGCTACGGTCGCGGGCGAGGCATGTGGAATTTCCGCGTACGTCACTCGAAGGTACTCTCTTTACCTGAGGGTGACCGTTAGCTGGAGGGAGGTCACTTTACACAAAATTTATTCAGCCAATCATATTCACTCGACCGATTCTCTAGCCACTCCCGAAAAAATGCAATTCAACCAATCCACATATCTCACCCCCGCTAACACACCTCGTTCAGTTTTACTTTCGGGAAATTCCTCGAACGAGGAATGAGTTCAAAAACACACTTCACGAGAACAAGACACAAACCAAAGACACATCCCAATTATCATTCCTTACCTCCGGAAACGATCGTAACGAAACCACTGTACTACGATACGCGGTGTCGAAACATCGAAGTGAAGATTTACGACCTTCACTAACGCGCCGTCTTTATTAAAGTTGATCGCGTTGCATCGCGAATTCGTGCAAAAAACAAATACCATCGTAACTAATAAAATGTTATATATTATTTTAAAAACAAATTTAAATATAGTATAAGTATATGTATATTTTTAATTTGTTTAATTTATATTATATAGTTTTGTTGTTTTGCATATTTTTCATTTGCATGTGCTAATTCTGTAGGGATGACCGAGCGTGAGTGCGTGTCTGTATGAATGCGTTGTCTGTGAGAATGCGTAAGGGTCTATGGCGTGAGCGGTAAGGACCGGCGTGCCAGGTCGAGTGTTTGGGATAGCGCGAAAGATATTGAACGAATGTTTAGTTTTAGTAATCAGGCGAGGAGTGCGTGAGTGCGTGTGTGTTTTCTTCTATGGAAAAGTGTGCATGTATGCAAGACGACATTAGGGCGAATGCGAGGGAGCGAAAGGCAGTGTGAATCCAGCGATTGATTGAGCGACATCCCTAGCGTAGCGATATAAACTATTAATAAATATATTATAGTCAAAAGTCCGTTCGAGTTTACTATCCCTCCACACAAAAATCCCCTACAATTCCATTAAATACTTGTGTTACAAATAAAATTATTATAAATTACCCCCAAAATCCTATTTAATTGGACG